CAATTGGCACTTATTGAGCAATTAAATGATCTAAATGCTCATCGGGATGCACGTGCACATGTTGGGCCTTTGAACTCGCAAGTTATAAATTTAAAATCGCCGCCTGGCAACTAGAAAATATTTGTCAACGCGTTGGTAATTGAATGCCCCAGGCAGGCCGAGTGCCGAGTGCCGAGAGCCGAGAGCCGAGTGCAATAGCCTTTGTCAAAGTAGAAGAAAGACCAACCCCAAGGCGACATCTAATTACAGCTAAAATAGAGGAGGCTAGAAGAGGAGCGAACAGGAGGGGGAGTGATCGCCACGTAACTATAGCTATAAGAAAACCAAGCACACACACGCATACGCACACACACACATGCGCACACAAATGATGCCGGAAAAATGCAGCGAGCGAACTGGCAACTCTGTATTTATAGAAACCAACGCGTTGAAACCGAGATGCAAATACAACTAGAAAGAGATACAAACTGTAGACTATGAGAGCGCATCTAGAAGAGAGAGATATAGAGAGAGAGATGAGGGGGAGAGAGAGAGAGCACAGAAACGGGCAGATAATTTTTATGATATTTTTAAACGATAAAATCACAGCAGGCGAAGTCAAGTGCACACACTCCCGAGCACATTGCATTGGCATCAAGTAACCGTTGCGGGTTTGGGCATTGGACTGAGTCAACAGAGCAAATGGAGCCATTAGCCGCCGCCGCCAGCCATATAGCCAGGTCTTGGCCTAAATATAGTCCAACTTGTCCAACACTCGAAATGGAGTTCCTATATTTGGGCTGGCCAATAGCGGCGGCAGCGCATTGCGCTCTCGTGTTACATGGGCGAGAGTTTGGGATTCGAATGTCTTAAAATTTATTTGGGGAAATTCAATTGGCAAGCCATAGGCTCGGGCCATGTGTCGCTAAAGCTGTAACTTTCTTCTTCACCTTCTTCTTCTTTTAATTTTTGTTTTTTTCTTTGGATGGGGGCGTGGCTGGGTCCCGTTTTGTAACATCGCATATTCCAGTCACGATTTAGCATTTTTCATCAGCGCTGCGATTTTCATGTCACGTTCGCTGACAAAGTTTTCTAGCCCGTAACCTTTACCCGTGCCAAGGCGCGAACTTTTCAAACGTCGCGTCTTTTGCGGCCATCTAGGCAAGTACATACATACCAACTGCATCCGCACATACATGCCTCTATCCATATAGGATTATACTCTTGCCTCCAGCTGCGAGCTGCCAGTTGTTATGTATTTTGGGTTTGTTTGCTCTTCAACAAAGTTTGTCAGTTTCGCTGATGTTTAATTGTTATTTTGTGTGTCTCTTGTGAAGCATTTTAAGTACGTCTGATCTTATTTTGAAGTTGTTCCAAAGTTCTCAGCTGCCTGCCGACACTTGACGTTACTAAAAATTGCCAAATTGGGAGCATTTAAAGGCACGTTTAACCTAAAGCAGAGATTGTCGTCAAATATTAGAGCCAAGCTCTGACAAAATGTTTCCCTTTAGTTTGTAAAAATAAATTCTTTAACTTCTTCATTTAAATAAATTAATATCAGAGATGGAAAAAAAAACAATAGAAATATGTTAATATCTTAAAGATGTTTAATAAGTAATGAAAAGAGTTGAGCAAAACTTTGACAAAAATTTAGAAGAGTTAATGGTGTTAAAGATAGTATAAATCTCCTGAAGTACCTAAGAAATCGAAGAGAAGGATTCCAATTTGATATACAAAAGACAAAGACAGAAATTGCTGCATATATAAACTTTATTTCGGGATAGAATCGTTTGGATCGTATCAAAATTTAAAAGTACATAAGCTCCTTAAGCCTTTTAACCCAATACTCGAAATAAACTCTTTAAACATTTAAGCTATATAACAGTTCGAATAGATATATATTATATTTTATATATATATAAATTTACTATATGCTATATTTCTCATATTATCTATCGATTCCAATTTTAAGCTTTAAGAGCACAAGAATGGTTTAAAACAACATTATCTTAACCATTTAACCAAAAGCTCGAAAATTGTGTATAACTTTGGGTAGTTAAAGTGAAATTATATTATTGGCGAGTTTTACAGCTGCTGCTTCATTAAAACAAGATCTGGACAAACTTTATTCACAATTTGTTTGCCATTTTGCGTAAAGCACAATAAAACAAATTAAACTTTGCAACCGCCACTCGGACGTTGGAAACTCTTGAAGTACATAGTTCGTTTTTGTTGTATGCTTTTTGCCACTTTATTAATTTCAAAATAAAATAGCGCAACCATTAACAATGCACAAGCAACAAAACAAATACACACACTCGCACGTAAAACGCAAGACAAGTTAGAGTGCTCTAGTTGCTAGTGTTCGACTAGCAGATACCCTCTAAGCTGACATGACTAGCTCTAGGTTTTTCTTTTACACATGCATACAAAGCAAAAGGTATCTAACTTAGGCTTCAAAAGTTTGTGAAATGGACAACAGAGGCGACAGACATGGACAGATTGCCACAGCTCGTCATCCTCATCAAGAATATGTTAACACATTTTATGGGGTCTACTGTTACATGCCTTTGCACTGTAGTTGTATACCCTGTTTCAATGCGCACAGGGTATAGAAACCACAATAAACAGAGAAACGCAGCAACAACAATAACTTCTGAAAGGCGAGTAAACTAAAGCCGGAGAAAAAATATGTTCACTTACACAATGGTTGCGAACGTGTTCTACATATACTGATTTAAGTACTTCGAATGGCATCGTATACACACAGTTTTGTAGTGCAGTGCAAAAAGCACACTACCAGCAGAAAGGTAGTGAGTACAGGCTACTGCTACTGCTGCTGCTGCTACTGCTGCTGCTGCTGCTGCTGCTGCTGGTGATGTGGCTACTGCTGCTGATGCTTCTTCTCTGCAATGTTGTGCTTCTTCTTGTTCTTTGCACGCTCCACAGTCATTTGGAGCATATGTTTCGAACATTTTTCATAATCAAAAAGCTTTTAGCGGCGGACAGTGGCAATGATGGCCACGACAACGATGCGGCTGCCACGCCCCAAGTCCCACAACTCAGCCCCCCGAGCGCACCCCTAAAAAGCTGCAAACTGACTAACTTATTGTAGCCAAGTGGAGCTTATTGTCCGTTTCATTTTCAAGTGCAGCAGCGTGTAAAATCGCAATAATGCGCCAGTTTCCAAACGCTGCACAGTGTTTGTTACCGATTTGTGGCATGACCGAAAAACTTGACAAACAGCTGCAGCGGCAACAACAAAAACTAAGATTTTCCATGCTGTGAAGAAGCTGAACTATAAGTTACCCTACATAAAAGATAATCTATTATAGTCCTTATGTTGGCATACTATATTCGATTTCTTTTATATACCATATATTTTACAAAACAAAAAGTTCGTACAGGCATAAAATAAATTGAAATAACTAATCAAAGAATTATGCGACAGACCACTATTTGAGTCAACCTTCGATAGTGTCAAATGAACGCTAACCAGTGTTGGTAAACAATAAAATACTCTTAATTTCATGTTATATTAATTTTTTATAATTTAACAAAAACATATGTGACAGACGACGATTTGAGTCAACCTTTGACAATAACATTAACACAATTTCTTAGAAACTAATAATGTATGCGCAATTAATTGGTCAACAATAAAATACTCTGATACTTTCTTTCATTTGAAAGAAAGTTGCTCTTTTTCTTGTGAATTATGTGTGATATCATTTTTCGACGTTGCACAGAGTAGGATTTAAGACAAGCCTGCTTGTGCATTTACCACGAGAAGTAACATCACACATTTTATACCAATAGACCGATGCAAGGTCTTACTGTGCTGATATACACATCATAGCATATAGCTACAGGGTATGAGCAAAGGAATTTTGCAACGACAAACTGCATTTGTCATGCCAATTGATTACAGACAACAACAACAACAACATGAACTAAAAAGCCCGAAATAACAAATTCAATTTGGCTCTCAACACTAAAAACAAGTCGAACAATTGAATTCAATTTTCATAGGCATAAACATGTTGCCAAACATTTATAACAAATTGCATTGAATTGAACGAGTGGCCTTTGTTCGTATGCATGTTAAAGCATACTTATTTACCATACCAATTTAAAATTGTTTATTTATTTATAGTTGACAGTTTTGTTGCGTATAATATTATATTTGCATTAAGCAAACAACAGCTACCACATTTAATTGTCGTTGGCTTTAGCCGTGCGCATTACCCATTTTATTACATTTCCGAATGCTTTTAATTGCCTTTCATTAATTTTTACGCAATGCCGGTCATCATATGCAAATAAATTGCACATACGCCTAGTTGCCAGCTGCAGAAACACAAGTGGAACCAACAGCAGCAGCAGCAGCAACAAAAATAACGTCGCACACATAATTAATATAGCACAGCCGTGTCCGCCGACTTGTAGGTTAAGTTGAGTTGAATCTGAATCTGATTGTAGCTCCCACTGAGTCAGACCCGTGCATTTAGGTAACTATAGCTATGCACAACAAAGCTGACTTTAGATAATGAATTAATGAAGTACCGCCAGCATTATGAATCCGCATACAATTAAGATACAATATAAAATAGATATATGTATATATTCTCATAATTTATCTTATAACGAACTAAATATATATACTGATGAATCAGAATATTAAACTAAGCTAGCGATCACATGTAGCTTTTGCCGAAAATCTACTGCCCACAGTCGATATTTTTCTTCTGTCAACTATGAGTTCTGAATAAATTGAAAAGGATTCATCTAGCAATAAACTGTGGATACATTCGTGCCTTGCCCCAATACTAAGACTAAGCTTTATTCTGGCAAACTAAACTAAAGTTCTCTTTACACATTTCTCTTGGAATCGATCTCCTTCTATCGTTCTGCAATTGACGTCCCTCCACACTTTATGATACAATTTTTATGCCAGCCAAAATCTTTCATTTATGCAGAACACTTCCGTATTTATCCAAACCTTTTTAATATATTGTTCATTATCTGTGACACAACAATTTTATTTTAAAATACAGAACAAATTCAGAATGCTGATGTCTCAATTTTAGAATGAAAAGTCAATCAGCGACTTGTTCCCGGACTTGGAGCTATCGCCCTTGTTATAGAAGTATACGAAATAGATAACCAGTGCTACAATTAAAAGTAAACCGAAAATCGAACAAAACAACATGCAAAGCAGCTTGCAGCCCAATTTTAAACAGCTGCAAATGTAACAGGTATTCATTAGCGTTATCATTCAAATGGGGCGGACGGACCTAAACTTACCATTTGCATATTCCACACATGCTCTAATTCCTAATAATTTAAAATTCGATTGTTGTGTATTTGTAAACAACTGTGTTAAATATGATGATAGAAAAGTCTCAAACTCCCATTTAGGCCAAAACATCGGATACTTTTGTATAAAAAAGTCCATTTCATTTTATTTATTTTTTTTTTGTAGCGAGAAATTTGTATTGCGCCTGTAAATTCATAAATTCGATTAACTTAAGCCAACAGAGCATTCAATTGTTGTTAAGGACCTGTAAAGCCAACTGCACAAATGAAATTTAAAAAATACAAATAAAATAAAAATATAAAAGAAAAGGAAAAACTCGCGTCGCATAATCGAAATGTATTTCGGCTTTTTATTGCGCCAGCCAAGTCAAGGTAAAGGCTCAGTGTCGAGGGTGTGGGTCGGTGTGTGTGTGTGTGTGTGTGTGTGTTTACGGGCAGAGAGGCAATTGTAGATGGGGGCCTTGGGGCGATAACAACATTTTAACGCCTTATGGTCCATTTAGGTAAAAGTGCCATTTGCGTTGTGGGCTTAACAAGAAATTATGACCTCTGGGCGGCGCAACCACAAGATTCAGCCGAAAAGAAAGTACATAAAAATGTGGCAAGCCACAGAAAAAAATCCAGCCTATTCCGATTAAGGACACGAACGATGAAGAGATAGAAGCTGGAGTACAGAATCGATAGTAGCCTTTGTATGCCTGATATCAAATATTATATATTTAGACCAAAGGCTTAAGTCTTGCATGGGCATGGGCTGATGATGTTCTAAAGCTCAACTGGAACTTATGTTTCGTTCAAGAATCTCTGAGATATCAGGTATAAACAGTTTTGATCTTTCAATCCTTAACCTGTTTGGCTTCTATCAAGTCACCCATGACATTAATAATATACAAAAAAAAAAAAATCCAAGTCCCTAATTCTTAACTAAGAGAAAATTGAAAATCACAAGCAACTTAAATTTAACAATGGCCTTAAAAAACACAAAGCTACTAATGATTGCCATGATGACTCTTGTGATTATTGATAATATGTTTCTCCATGCTATTGAAACTGTAATAATCGAGAGAGGAAAATCGGAGAGCGACAAGTGAGAGAAATAATAATATACTGGATCGATTATCTGGAGATTGATTGGAGCGGCAAAGTATATGGTTATGAAACGCCCTGACGAATAAAGTGATTCAAAATATACTTAATTAAATTGAAAATTGTGTAATATTCTAGGATTAATCAAATTATTTAAATCGTGTAATTATTGGGTTATGCACACCTATAAATAAAGGTCATTAAAGTGTGCTGTGAAGAAATCTGTTGCAACGAGTTTATTTATCAGGCGAAATGTCGGATGAGTGAGCCTTGAAATAGTCAAAGATACTATATCTAATCATAATTAACACAATATTGTCAATCGAGAACAAGACCTGACCACGCTATTAGGCACCAGTCATGAAGCTCCGTAAAATTGTTTCAATTGAACCCGGCTCGCCTTTTAAATGGTTAATGTTAGTGGATAAATTTGCCAACTATTGGCTTTTCATAAAAACCCATTGTTCAGGCTCAGGTGCCTCGATTTCAATGCTCTTAATTTGGCCTAAAGGCGGGCAACCTTTACGACTGACTACTTAATGTTAACGATGCGCCAAAGTTATGACAGGGCGCAAGTGTTTGGGGCCAATCGAGAAAACTGTTGAGCTCAAATCTGTGCATAATAGCTTTCAGGGCCCGATGAATTTCTCGTAGCCACCCAACCCTACGCCAGATGCTTACCTCTGGCCGCTGCCACTACTACTTTCGTGGCGTTACATTTCAATGAAATTTCCATAAGGAAACCATTTAAGAGCAGCCGAAATGCGGAACGAAGGAAATCTGTGAAAAACCGCAATGTCAGTGGAGTTGCGCCCATCAAGCCCCTGCCTCTGCTCCCGCCCGCCTCCTCTGATTGTTGTGTGAGGCAGAACTGATGCTAGTAGTTAACGATACTTTGTATGCAAAGTGCAAAAAACGGAAGTGAAGCGCCGAATAGTCGAATCAACTAGCCCAAGCGCCGTGTGCGAGGTTGGGGAAGCTGGCTAAAGAATGGGAGGGGTGGCGGGGCCGGTGGCGTTCAGGCCGCAAAGCGTTCAGAAGCTTGTGTTTGATTATTTTTTACGCCGGAGCGGCTGCTCCTAGCTATTTCTGGTGCACTTTATTTCGCAGATTGTAAGCGTTTATATCCAGCGCAGGAGCCGGAGCAGGAGCAACGCTGACAGCTGACTGAAATGTCGAAAGTAACTTGAAATCGCTTGGGCGAAGCATTTGGCAGTTTTTGGGTTCATGGTCCACCCGCTTCAAGTGCCCGCCGTATCTATGTATCTACGTATCTATCGTGTGATTAAGAACGTTTCGTTGTATTTAAGTGTTGGCCCAAAGCTCTTTGTTACTCTTTATGCCCTATTGAACGGCTATTGGCTGGCGTCCTCGATGCGGCGGTGCGGTGGTGCGGTGGTGCGGCCAGCAATGCGGATTGGATCCTCGAGCATATCATTACCACAGATGCGGCTGACAGCGGCTGCTTTGTGCACGGCTTTAGATGCAATTTATCGATAATCGCTTGAGTTTGAAATAGAACTGGCCGTAAACTTGCCAAATAAATTATTCAAAATTTGGCACTTAACAAAAATATAAAAAAATTAACTATTTTAAAAAGAAACGCTAAAATTTAAAAACAAAAACTAAGTTGCCGCCTCGCCTAGGTATTATTTTTGTCTATATTACAATTGAATATTCGATATTACAAGAAACATTTCTTAAATTAATTTACTTTACATGCCTTTTAAATTTATCTTAAATTCTTCAACAATATGAGCAATTATTAGTATTAGAAATTGAGAAGATGTGAAGACCTTTCAGACTAATGCAGATCTAGTCTCATTCGCATAATTTCATTAGGGCCCCTTAAAATGGTGTGCACAGCGCATCAATGCGTTTCATTCTATTCCATTTTCGGCTCCTTTCTTTGTATACCCTGAATATGGTAAATAGGGGTGTAATTGTTGCTTTACAAATGTATGTAACAGGTGCATTCATGTATTCTTCTTGAAGTTTGGTAATTATGTTCACCTATTTGGTCTTATGTACAGAGAAGGAAGCTGTAATTTTGTGTAACGGCAGATTTGCATTGCTGGGTATCTTATAGTCGAACAATCCCAGCAAGAGTCCGCTAACTTATTTCATTATTTCAATGGCTTCGGCTTCTACAACCTTAAATTTTGTTTTTTTTTTTTTCGCCCTTCTGCTTTTGGTTCTCATCCGCTGTCTCTTCTCTTCGATTGCCTTTTAGTACATTGAACACTTGGTATTTGCCATCTGCGTGCTTGGGAGTGCGTAGGTGGGTTTGGTCGAGGCGGGCTGGTGTGTGTGTGTGTGTGTGTGCCGTTACTTCGATTTGTTTCTTATTTAAATTTTGTATACGCTTCAGGCGACACTGTACCAGGGCGGACGGTTGCTGAGCAGGGCTGCATTAAGTGCTTTGCGGGTGCAAACGCGAATTAATGCGAGCCAGGAAAAAAAAAATGAACAAAAAATGGGCGGGGGGAGGGGGGGATGGGAAATCGCTGCGGTTGCCAGCTGTAACGCGTTTAATTTATACGCTCGCCCTGGCAACACAACAAAATAAAGAATGGAAAAAAAAGAGAAGAAATAAAAATATATATTTATTTTACAGCTGCTTCAGCACTTAGAGATATGTGTGGGTGGGTGTGTGGGTGTGTGTGAAAGTGTTTCGGGCAATAAAAAGCAGCCAGCGAGTAGCATTCAACACCTTTTTCTATTTTGGCCAAAAAGCTTAATAAACAAACGACCAAATGGGGTGCGGATGCGGATGCGAATGCGGATGCGGATGCGAATGTTAGTGGGTTGGCAATTGGCGGTGACTCTGGGCACAAACCAGCGCATAAACATTTAAGTCCACAATTTGCACAGCACGTAAAGAGGCACCGCACACACACACACACACACACCCAGCAGTTACACATGCCCTGCCCACACACACACACACACGCACACCAAATGCTAGCCAAATGCAATTTTCACGTGCAACCACAACGAAATTTATGCCACACCAGTAACTACAGCTGCAGCTTCAGCTACAGCAACAGCAACAGCAACAGCAGCTGCTACTGCTACCCGGGACCACCCACCCAACCACCCACAACCGCATCCACATGCCACTGACAATAGTTGACACCGTCAACCGTCCGCCCGCAGCCGCAGCTGGTGCACCTTGCACCAGCATCGCATATGAGCCGAAGTCGAAGAGTCGACATCGCAGTCGCAGTCGCAGTCACAGTCGCCGTCGTCGTTTTCGTTTTCGACGTCGCGGCTTCATGCGTGCCCGGCTACGTTGTGGCAACATAAACATTAATGCAACAACAGCAACAACTGAAATAACAACTGCAACAAGCGCCAACCCATCAGGCTCAAATGCATGCCCCATGGACAATTTGATGCGTGAGCGAGACTCAAAGCCAGCTTCAGCGGCAAGCTGTGAGCTTTTTTTTAGCAAAGCCCAACGGGTATTCGAGAGCGAAGTCAAGTCATAAAAATTGAATTAAGTAATTTGGTCGAAGCTTTTAGCTTTAATTATTCTTTCCAGAGAGTCTTAAGACAAAAGCGCATTAATTAGTTTTCTCAGCAAAGCTCTTCATTATTATCCAAAGTAACTTTCCTACAATATTGACACAGGTCTTAAGATTATGACATATGAAATGCACTAAAATATATTCCAAAACTATAGAATATGCTGCGTGCTTCTAGAATCTTGGCACGGACTGTAAATTGACCACTGGCCATATGCGAATAGTATGCATTCAAGTATTGGCCACGATTCCTTTTGTTGTAGCTTTGTGTCGTGCCGTGTGTGGGGCGCATTGTAATGCAGCGCTATCACCTGGCGCTGCATTTGCTCAGAAGCCAGCTTATTTATTGCTGTTGAATTAAAATGAAAAACGTTTGTGCTGGTCGAGGCTGGGCTCAGTTCATGTTCATTTCAGGAGCGCCACATGATGACATAACCATTGCAGAGCAAAGCAACGAGCTTTCCGTGTACTAACACG